ATATACGAGGCCATTGCGTGTCCTAGATTGACTACATCAAGGACATATTGAAAACCTCGATTATTAGTTAGCATGGCGTAGTAGGCAAATGATTTTCAACAGCAAGTACCGCCATTGTCTTACCTGTCTTCTTCAAAAAGGATTTCAGAAGTTTCTTTGTTGACTTCTTTTCCTCTTTGTTGTCATGCATCTGAGTTTAAAGAAAGTACTATCAGTTGGAATAACGATGACAGAGACTAAGAACAGGGTCCGTGCAGAGTATCAAAAACGAAATTTAAGGACTTTWCAAGGACTTTTTCCAGGACCAAAATTGTATTTTCAAGGAGCATCAAAATCATGCTAATTGTACATTCTTGCCTCAAAACTTCAGRCGAACGGAATAATTCAGAGGTRGATAGCGTTCGTTATAGAGATCCATCTTTTTCAAGGACTTTTCAATGGTTTTTTCGAAATTTTCAAATTTTCAAGGAGTTRCAAGTGRCCTTGAAAACGAGTTTTCAATTCAAGCACTTTTCAAGGAWTTAAGGACCTGCACYGACCCTGTAAGAATGAATTGTTTTCTACCACWAGAATTTAACACRTTAACAAACTCGTACCTCATTGAAATTTCCAATCCATATAGAGGCGTACTTMAAAAGAGAATAATGAGTGRTATGCAASATTGACAGTTCCCCTGYCAACCTCATATCTCCATAGAAACGCTGTATAGTCAACAGCAAAGGCAAKGGATTCACCATGACATGAAAAAAGTCGAGGACYACAAGYTTGATGTACTGTGCAATATAACCTYCAAAGGGACAACTTGGTCAATTGTAATTCYATGAAATAAGGAAATGGATGAAAATTAAATGAATAAGAAGGAAATATGAAATGAAACTATATATAATAGACTAACAAGAAAATAATAAAGTACAGGGCCGGGTTGTTCAAAGCCTGATTAGCGTTAATCCAGGGTTAATTCCATAGGTGTTCTAAGAGTTAACCCAGGATTAGTGCTAATCGGGCTTTAAACAACTCGGTCCAATTATAACATATCACACAGAGACAAGAGAAAARGGCAGATAAAATAATCGCCATTATTATCAGAATAAAATGCCCTCAAACCAGAAAAGAGCAGTTAACATACATACCAAGTTGCGTTGCAGTGCAACCATCTTGTTCTGATGAAACTGATTCAACATGAGCCATCAACGCTCTGACAACTAATGGACTGAAAGCAACCCTACAAAAAAATACAAGACAGTGCTTTTGAATTACAGTAATCTGCAATTTGAGTCTTCTAGYTCCCTCTGTAGTTTTATTTAAGAGAAAACAGGTGAAAGGCTATGTTTATAGTAGAGTTTTAAATATACCAACATTGGTTTTTAATCATTTCTCGTAACTAAAAAGGCCAAATAACCTACAATGTTAAACCTACCTTGATGAAGAATCTATACTGTCTTGAAATGGTGTGATTCTATTGGCTATGGAAGCCTGCGATGTCATCTCCATGACAATGTCAGTGTAGGTATAAGGCTCCATAGCAACAGAGAAGAAAATAGAGTCCATGAACTGAAGCAATGCATCTTGTCCAGGAGCTAAACTCTTGTTGTATAAGTGTTTTAGCCATATCTGTATTTCATGTGAGCTGTCATTGATAATGCCTTCATCAACAAGAAACTGTGTGTTCAAAGTAGGGAAACAAACAGATTAAAATCATTAAAAAAACTTGGAATTAATGGAATTAAAGGTGCTATGTGGTGCTGTATTATAATCACCTTGGTGATGACATTTTCAGCAGTAGATTTAATGTCAAGTTTTTCACAGGTAATATACATCTTTAGAATAGAGTACATATGAGATGGACCTTGCTTGGACTTCTGAAAAAAAACATTTATCCATATTAATCATATACAGACTTGATATCCTATACCACATTGGCTGTGAGGCAATGGATTGCCTATGGTTTTGCAAATGAGATTGCTTAGACCATTGCAATGCTGGTGTTTGTTCTTTCAAGTATGTGTCGGGCTGTTGCCCTTACTATGCTAGACTCCACATGCCATTTGCTTACTCAATCCCTTTTCGGATGAATGTGATTATATGTAGATAATTTGCTGTTCCCACCCACCACTCTCTGTACATGACTAGATACATATCCCCTGCCTACATGTAATTGCCGGAGACATACATGTATCCTCAATTGGCTGCTACAATGCACACATGCCCAGACATATCACAGTAACAATGAGTTTATGCATAGGATAATCATTGTTCAATTAAACTAACTACCTTGTGATACCATTTGAAAGCTCCTTGTGGCATATCAAGAAGAATCTTCAATGTGTAGTACTGCACAGTTTCTGGAAAATATGTGGTATCTTGGAATTGGTTTTGCCCTGGAAGCAGCTTCCCCAAGTCAAAGTTCAAACTGGACAAAATGAAAGGTTGYACTTTCTGGTAGCCATAAAGGACTTGTATTGCACTACACAGTAGCTTGGARGGTTTGCCTGTAGGAAATACAGCATGTAAGCACTACTGTGTCATGTTTTTTTATGATGGAAGATGCTTCAACAACTTATGATTAAAACATAAATAAAGTACAAGTGCTTTAAATCTTACATTCTTTTATTATTGAATCATCATTTATCTGGTCATCTTTGTCCACAACCAGGACATCTTCTACTTGCTCTTTGCTGCCCAACAAGTTCTGTCTCAATGAGACAACAGTTTTWACATCAGGCAGAGCTTTGATGAGACCATCAGTGAAAAGCTGAGAAAATGAATCCACATTTGAAGAAGAGCTGTCTTTATTGCACAGCTGTAACAAGTCTGCAGCTCGAGTTAGTACCAACTTGATCAGTGTGAGGGTTGTATCTTTGACYAGCAAGCTTGAATGCTGGAAAACACAAAGCAATGTGCATTTGTTACGAAGGAATTCTTTAATCAACCAATRTATTCATCAATCCACTTGTTCATCCATTCATTTTTTCATTCTTTCATTTATCCCATCATTCATTCAACTATATCATACCTGCAACCCCTGGTTAAGATTCATTCTTGTTAATACAACAGGAAAGACAGTATTRAATGCTGGTTGCAGAAGAGAATCCTTGTTAAGCTCGATGTCAGCTTTGGCAATCATCACTGATGGCATGGGAAGTGTTGAAAATATCTGTTACAAGATAAAAAGATWTTCATGATGTAGCTTTGTTCTACAACACCCCATTACCTATTATAAAACATTGCAATTCATCCTTTCTTACACAAAATTAAATGAAATAAAAACTTACTTTGATGATGAAGCTAAAATTTGTCAACCAAGGCAAAGACAGCCTTGGTTCATAGGTAATCTTAAGGCTTGTAAGGTATGGATGTACAAGGTCTGGACAYCACATCAAGATCTTGATAACTAGCTGCTGTAAGACTGGATTGTGGTCATTCTTGGGGATGGACAGCAGAAACCTCAGTAAAACTGGATTGTTGGACCTGGAATATAATAATTCAAGCTTTATATGTATACAAGTAAAGTGTGTCTTCCATACAGGTTAAACCTACCTGCCAGTAAACATTCCTAATTTATTGGCAAAACAAATGCCATACTTGAACGTACAACATACGTCCTGTAGAAGCTTGTGCACCATTTCTCGTAGATTTTCACRATCARTGTGTTCATCATTGTCTTRACCGACGTCYTATTTGTAAAGACGTGAAAGCTGGGTCAAAACATAAGAGCTGAACAGTTGAACTTTGGTRTTCTTTGGTACTTGTGTATTGTTGACTACCTTCATGAATGGAAATGTTGGAATATAAAACAACAGTTGGTAGGTTGGAGGGTAAACTAATATGTTAGGAACAGTCTGAAGTTTTATTACACAAGACTTTTACAAGAATATAACCATTAATTAGATTTTTATTTCTAAAACATTTGCATTTAATTATCATTAATTATTTATCATTTTTTAACTTAGCAAAAGCTATYACTATCTAACATTGTTGAATATACCTTTTCTTGCAATGTTTTGACGACCATAGTGACAACATACAGAGGATCAGAGGGTAGCAGTTTAAATACAGATGATACAAATCCTAAGGAATTATATTAAATCAATGAATTAATATAAATAATATTAGTAATAGTAACTAATAGTACCAAAGAAACAAACCTTTAATATCCAGAATATGGCGTAAAGTAGCATCATCTCCAAACATTAAAAAGGACATGACGAATTTTATAAAACATGTCCTGACGCTGTGGTGATTCTATTAATGAAATTTGATATAAAAATGACACTCATTTAATATTGTAATGCACAGTCAGATTGGATTTAGTAATAAAGAATGCGCATAGGCAGTTCTATGTTCAAGAATACATGCCTACACTCCAATTGTATCAAACACGCTACTTGTGTTAACACTGAAAGCATTCTCCAGTACCTTTACATCACGTTTATTCACCAGGCCACCAAAAGCTTTCAGAGTAAAATCAAAAACAGCTACAACTTCCCTTGCKGCAAAAGCTCCCTGTGCAACCATGGCAACAAGAAGCTTCAGAGCCCCCTRAATCATATTCTGATGACCAGAAGGGTTCAYYCAGGAGTACAGAAGCTTGAGATGATTTTGGAGTAGTCTTCTGACATGGTACATTCCAATGGCTGAATAGTTTGCAGTGCCAGCRGRCATTAYGAGAAGCTCTTCTAAGACTTCAAGTGCAATTTGAAGCTGGAACAAAGAAAATGGAACCATCATTACAAAGAAACAAAGGAGCAAGAAAGGAAAGGAAAGGCAAAGGAAGAGAGAAAATGGAACAAGAGAGGAAGGGAGGAAGAGAAAGTATGAAGGAGGAAAGGAAGGGAGGGATCAAGCGAAGGAAAGGGAAAAAGAGGATGGGAGGGAAGGAGGAAGAAAGGATGGGAAAAGGAAAGGGAGGGTAGGGGTAGAAGAAAGAAGGAAAGAAAGAAGAGAAAGAAATGAAAGAAAGAAATGAAAGATGAGAAAGAAATGAAAGAAAGAAAGAACAAAACGGAGAACTATTTGAAAGCATGAGTTACAAAGAAAGCTTTCTTCTCAGTACTGATCACAAACATTACCTCAAGAGGTGCCTCGCTTTGTCGTCCCTTCTCCAATGATTTGTAAATCTCAGGACATTCTGAATTCATTTTAACAAACTCCTCAAAAACACTTAAACCTTTTCCTTCCTTCTGTCTGAGCGCATCTCTTAGCTTCGTGAGGCCTATGYATTTTACATTTACATCAAATTAAAATGCCGGGCATGCTTTAAGCTTATATTTGAGATGGAAACAAGACTGGACAACATCTATGTTTATAAAACTACGAAAATCTACATGCATTTCATTTTTCAAACAGATGAACACACGAGTTATTCAGCGTTAATACCTGTTAACAGCGTCGTTTGATTCTTTAATAGTTGCTTTACATCAGCTATTAATGTTTTTTCGTCGTCAACTCGTTTAGACATCAGTTTTCCACCGACGTTAGAGTCCGATTTCCTTGACTTTACAGCTTTCTCCGGCGATTTATCCTTCYATTTCTTTCTCTTCATGATTATCGTGCTGTTTACTTCGCTGTTTAAGGTACAATTTATAGCCAACTACAGTAAGAAATAGTGAAAAACACGAAAACTTCCAAACACGTGCAACTCAGTCCGCCATATTGAAATGTTTGGATACGTAGTCTTGCTCGGTCTTTTGAGGCAACAGGAAGCCCAAAGTATAGTATAGGAGGAKAAGGAACGCCTAGTCACACCTGCATTCTGTCTACAGAAACCATAATGATTTATATGCCAACTGTTCCTTAGTTCAGCGAGGGCAGTTTCCGTCATTTATTTTTCAAAATCTTGACCCAAATACAGATTGAAAGGCAATTCAGAGGCTACAAGTAGATGATTTTTACAAGGAACTCATAATAACTACTGACAATCATGAACAAATAACTTCAATGTTACGTAGTTGCGTAGCTAAGAATAGTGCCAGTCAAAAATGATGGCAGATAAGTAAAGTTGATACATGCAATCTTTTCTTTTGTCTGGTCAAAGCTTCTTTGATCTAAAAAAACTCCATAATTTCACAAAATATGTAATTTTTGAACAGTTCATAGTTTTTATAGTGTAGAATGAAAAGGAATTGTTGCGTTTGAATATTGTTTTTTGCATTTGTTTACATCTAGAACAGGCTCAAAGGAACTAAATCAGAAGAGTAACACTAATTAAAAATATYATGCAAACAAAACAAACATCTTTATTGATACAATTAAAATATATTATATATTATTGAGAATATAATTATTTATAATTATTTATACCCATTATTACCCAGAATCTCCCCTGACAAGCACTCAGGGGCTCTGGGAAACAGTGCACACCATTTTTTAGGTTTACATTGCTCTCACTGGCCAGTTGTGGCCTTTTTAGTATCCAAGAGTCTCTGAAAAGACCAAACATGACATGAATGATACCTCTTTGCCAAATGCAAATAATTTGCATATTCCTATCCAAGTTTAGCACAGCAAAAGAAAGCTTGGAAATTGACCTGCATTAACAGAAGTGTAATTGGTGCACTTGCTAGAYTTCTTATATSTTATWAWCAAATCYTCACTGACATTWACAGATMTTTGACCATGTGAWCCAAAGTGAGAAGGCGGTCCTTTGATGGTAGCRTTCACAGTATACCAGAACTTTGGTTCAAGGCTTAGTGGCTTATCAAGCTCTACACTGAATCCATAATATCTGTCATTCACCAAACCACTGTCATAAGATGAAGACAGCCAGGACACCATTTGGTCATTCTTTAAAATCTCCAAGACAATGTCATAATGTGCRCCTTCATTGCCAAAAAGTTGTACACCACTTAGACTGATAGCTTTGCTCACAGRYAAATCAATAGCATCAATGTTGTTATTGCCATAATGTTGAGGAGTTGAAGATCTMATGCTTCGAAATCGATTMGGTGTATATGATTCTTGTTTATGTACTCTGCGACTCCTCTTYCAAAATATACTGGTAGAAGAGGGAACTTTGCTAAAGATCTGGAAAAGCTCRGTAACCTCATGCCCTTTAAGAATTCCACTTGGAAGCACCACTTCAGCYATRTCTTGCTGTGACATTAAAGGAAACCTGATGAGTCTGATGATATCTTCTCCAAGAATGGCTCGTTTAGAATCTCCAGTGCACTCTAACTTTCCTTCTTCTATCTTTTTAGTTGCCCATTTATCAACAGCTTGAAAGATTTCCACCTCCTTGATTCTTAAAGAGTCTCTAGTTAAGAATTGACACAGCATATCCTGAGATACTTCAAGAAATGGTTTCGATGATATTGCGAG